TGTTCCACATGAATATTTTTCTCGGTTTTACCCAACGTAAAATATCAGATTAAATTTCAAGTTTTTTGGTTGTTTATGAGCAGATAAATACATCTAATTTTGAAATATCGATATTGATAAAAATAAATCTTCCATAAATATATTATGGTACAAATTATCTAGATATCCAAGCTTGTAACTTCTAACAATATTAAGAAATTTATTTTTTAACTTCGTAGACTTTTTTTTTTTAAAATACAAAATTTTCAAAGATTCATCGCCAAGATACTATTTTGTTAGATAGCAAATAATAAGCATTACTAATTAAAAAATTTTATTCGGTATGTTTTTGAATATCTGAACTTTATAGAATCACATACGAAACATTCTCTTCGCGCAACATTTATAATAAAAATTCGTAAAAATTTTTTGAGTACAGTATAAGCAATTAGACAATATGCATTTACATAAATTAATAAAATTACAAAAAAAAAAAAAAAAAAAGGATAACGCGTATCTAATAAATACAATTATTTTAATATATCAAAACATGTGTCGTAATTAAAATATAATATATATAAAATAGCAGTAGAATAAGTATCCAACTAAAAGATCTTGCCATCCTATCACTGTTTTTGAAATAGTTGAAAATGGCAATTAAATTTTTTTTTTCGACGTACCATTTGTAACCTTTTTATTTCATATGTAAATGATTAAATTGGCAAGATCCGTGAGCCGGTATGAATGGTTTAAAATCGAAATCTTCGATAGTTGCCAAAGCATCAATAATTCGGTTATCATCAATTTCCTTACAAGTTATCAATTTAAATTTCTTCAAATTCTTCCCCAAACATTTCAAAATCACATCTAAATGAGCATCTGAAAAGCAATGAGAGCAGGATAATTCCAAAGATCTTAATGGTGGATTTGAATTCACAAGAAAATCATTCAAAGAATGAGGAAGAAACGACCAAGGAGCTTGAATTGCCAAATGTCGAAGTTTTCTTAAAAGTTGCAATTCACCCATCTGATCAAATAACCAATTTATATCCTCTATCACAAGATTTGTTTCTTCCAAAGGCTGTCGTAAGGTTACAGATTCAAGTTGTGGACAAAATGTAAAAAGGGTTAAAAGTTGTGGGATTTCACCAATTGAAACAATAGAAGAGAAATTCACAAGATTTGGGCAATATTTTGCAATTGTTTCAATAATATTACAAGTAGAGTCTGAACCTTCCTTATTATGATGATCGCCCAAGGTTAAAGATTTAAGCGAAGAACCAGAATCTTCAATTAGCTTTAAAACTATTTCTGGAGATGATGTAGAATCACTCATTTCAATTGTCGTTAATCGAAAAAGTGAAATAGGATTTGAAACTAAAGGTTTCATTAAAATGTCACTAAGTTTACAAGATATGAATTTCAAGGTTTTTAATCCGATAAATTCAATTAACTTTTCAAGAGAACCCCATTGAGAAAGTTCAGTGTCAAAATTAATAAATTCAACATATCTTAATGAAGTAACTTGACTCGTCAAAGCATTTAATATAGTATTTAATCCTATTTCTCCACGCGATAACATAAATGTATTTAAAGAAATTTGAGAACGAATTAAAGTGGCAAGATTTTTTGCTTCCCATTCTAATTCTTGCATTTGAGGTTCAGTATAAGTTTGAAGACCGGCATTTGACCAAGAATCATAGCCACCCATATCAACATAAATCATTCTAAGTTGTTGACAAATTGAAGACATTGCGTGAAAAAGTCTCCATTTAGTTCCACGAGTTGTACAAATAAATTCAGTGAGAGGAGATAGACATCCATTTGCACCTGGATAAGTCGCTATTAATAAATGCTCTTCTGGTACGCTTTGTTTAAATATTTGATTTCCATAATCATCAATATTAAAAATAGGATCCATACAATTACATCGATAATTCTTAATTGAATCACCTATTGTTGGATCTATTGAAAGAAGGTTTAACTTTTTAGAATCTCTCATAATTAATTTTGCTAAGGAATAAGAAACCACACGATCCACTGATACAGGAAAAACTGCTTTGCTGTCATTAAAAGTTGAATGTTTTTTTCGTGACATAATATTTTTTAAAGATTTTATGGAATTAACCAATTTTTTTTTTGAATTAGATCTTTTCAATTTTGGAGAATTAACATCATTATTATAACTAATTAATTGACTCTTTGATAAAGAAAAACATTGTTTCCAACTTCTTACTGTAATGAATAATTCTTCAAGATCTAAATAACGTAAGAATTCCACATAATTAAAAGTAAAACCAGTATTCCGTTGTTGTAATTTTATTTTATTATTAATAAGAATTAATTTTTCTTCTTTAGGTAAGAAAGATAAATAGATGTTGAGTAAAATTGAACATTGAAGTAAACGTTTTTTTGGGGATCTAATACAAGTATTCGAGGAAGTATTTTTTGAAGGACAAATGTTGACCAAATGGAATGGTTGACTCCAAAGAACAGTCACAGCATTTAAACACCAAAGACGATTTACAAGAAGACAACTACGTAAAGATGTTCTGTCATTTGAAAGATTTTCGAATATATGTGAAAGACATTCAGATGGTAATGATGATGCCATTAAGAGAGTTAATTAAAATTGGAAAAAAGTTGAAACACGGTATATTCAAACTTTTCACAGTTTATAATCCAATACAAAGAATATATATATTAATACGACAATTACGCACGTACGTACGTACGAAATTTCAATTTAATGTTGGACTTTGTTGTCCACAAAGAGTAGATAGGCTTGATAAAGGAATGATTAACTTTTTAAAACGTCAACCATCATTTGGGTTTTATAAAAGTGATATGACGAATATCTTTATCGTAAATGTTTGTATTACAACATTAAAAAATAATATATATATATATATACTTAGTTATATTAATACATATCTGATATACAACTTAGCATATAACTTGATATATATATATATATATACTGTATATATATATATATAATTTAGCATATAAAGTTGATGTATCAAATTATTCGTAACGATGTGCATATTTACTGTTATTTCTGTCTATATAAGATTTTTTTATTTTTTTATTATTTTTTTAGTTTTTAAATGCAACAACGATTTTTTATCATCATTAACTGATGACTCTTGATTGGGCTTCTTTTCCAAATTTGCCAAAAATTGCAAAAATTGGCACGTACGTACGTACGTACATATGTACTCATGAATGTGAGCATACATCTAATTTCTGCACAATACCATTATTATTAACAAAATTCGTCCGTGATTGATGTGACAAAATACAAATAAATAATATACCAATAATACCGCACACACTATATACAGTATATATTTTCTTCCCTCCAGGTTGCTTGAATTACATTACATGTTTTTTTTAATAAAAATTCAATAAAACTTCAACACATTTCTTGTGAAATCTTATCGTTACGTTGTGTTTTAAACTTTTCTCACAACTCTAAAAATAAACGATCTATTATTTATTTATTTATTTACTTAAACTTTATACACTAAAAGGTCACATGCGACTTATCATATGCGCTATTAACGTTATGTGATCCGAGACACGAAACCAATCGCCCCTTTATCGTTGTTACACCTTTGATTTCTTTTTGTCTAATTTATGAAAAAGTTTTTTAAGTGACTATCTAATTTATAGCTCTAATATTCATTTTAAAAGTATATATATTGTGTATATATATTTATTTAGACTTATTATACGTATTAGTATTGGCGTTACTATAATAAGTTCAACTTTTGTCTTTTCTAGGAAAAGAAATTCTTTCTTTTTCTTTGATCTATAGGTGATATAACTCATAAATTACATATCTACTTGAAATCGGTCTTTGATGTTATAAAGTTATGTTAGTACTTAAATAAGAGCCTCTGAATAAGACATGATTGCTAGAGAGGTTGTCCAAACTATTTGGAACTTCCGAAATTATGTGATGCTAATATCATATAGGATATTAATGCCAAGGGAAAATGTGACTTTGGGCTTAAAGCATTTATTATCATCTACTAGATTTAGCCCTGATGGTAACATATATATGATGCGTAATCACATATCATATATTACCGATCTGTTTTTTCATGATATGAATCTGATAAATAATACACTTGGATGTTCGATGTCTTATTTCCCTTGGCAGCAATCAAATGATAAATTCGAGTAATCGGAATTTATTTACGGTAAAAAAATATTAAAAATAAAAATTTAAAGGGAACAAAGTTCTATTGAATTCTATTATAAATGGCTAGTTCTGCTCGGCTAAGCCAACTGATTTATCAGTTCTACAAGACAAACTACGACCATTAAACAATACTGATATTATAGTGCTTTACAGAATTTAATACTATAAACGTGCATAAAAACTTGTATATTGTTAACTGTTAAAGATATATACATTAAACCTTATTATATAGTTTGAAAATATATATACATATACGCTTATATCTATATATCGATATTGAATATTTTACGTATTATAAGGTTGTTTACAATATAGGTTATGCTGACTATTTATTACCGTATCTGATAAATGACTCGACTCAACTTGGCTTACTCTCACTTTTGAGCCATGTAAATCGGTCAATCATTTTGTAGCAATTGGGTTCGAATAATATATGTATGTGATTTAGTTATTTAGATCTAGTTTCTCCCTAAGGGTCAGAAGGTATTTGCCATCTATTTATTACATGATAAAATAGGCCTTATAGCTGGAATTACTCTTATTGCTATGATTATTATATGGTTTGGGTTAATAACTGTAATAAACATTTATATAGTGAAGAGCAGGTGTATAGTGGGGCTGAGAATTGCCATAAGCCATGCAATAGAGCTCATAAGGAGAAGCAGTTAGAGCCTCAAGGAGAGTATATGCACTAAGCCTGGCTCTATGCAAGTAGATAAAGAAGTTGTTGAACTAGTAGTTTTTATAAAAAGTTAAAAATGAAAAGGCAGCCCTTAGTAATCAACTAAATCAAGCCTTATAATATCTTTGAAGATATTCTAAGGTTGCTATCTAGTGCAACTATTTCCCAGATATTGTAGTACTCTAATTAGAATGCTAAAGTATTATGCCATAGTCCTCAGCATATATTTATTTCACTCTCTAAATAGCAGATCCAAAGTTTGAATCTTATAAACAATAATATCAAAAAATAAAACTGTGTTTGGTAATAATTATCTAATAATTAGTTGGGTGTAGCATGGCAGACATTTGTTTTAATTGGTCAAAAAAAGTAAACAAGTAAACAATATGCATAATGTAGATCATTATGCTACCCGTGATTGCCCATGATAAT